CATCAATTGCCAACCGATTTGGTACACTGTGGCCGGTCTCCCTTATACGTAGGCTCTTGACTTTAGATTGGGAAGAGTTGAGGGAACATTCACTGTAAACAGGAGATCGTCAATTAGGCTCTTAGCAAGGAAGATCAGCAAGTTTTATGCACTCTCTTGGAAAATAGCGGGTTTCAGCAAAGGATGTTTAGGACTTAGGAAGGGCACAAACTTACAGACCTGCTTCTTGATATATCAACATCCCGTAGAAGACTGGACAATCAATAAATGTATGTAAAAGATTAACATGTGATGTCAAGCATTTACTTTCCGTAGGTGGATTACACCTATTTGTAGCGATGCTCATCTTTTTTACTAACGAAGATGCGTTTTACAAATTTTCCAACACGTTTAGCCACATTCGATTTGTCATCAGTGAAGGAGCTTCGGGAATTCGGGTCGTAGCGTATCTGAGATTGAACATATGGCGAAATCATCAGAGATCTAATTGAGCTTTTTCTTCGAGACTTTGAGAATTTTGAATCCTCTCTGGAGCTACTTGAACGATGCCCTTGTGACGATTTTCTACGAGCTTCCTTGTTGCTTGACCACTGCGAGGCTCTTCTTTGTTTGCTCTTCTCATATCCAAAATTATCTGATCTATCGCTATCCATGGGAGGCAGTAAAAATGTGCTCAGTCTGCGACCAAAATTCGCCAGAGGGGAGTCTTCGACACTTTTCTTTGAAGGACTACTAGAATAGTGAGAGCCTCTTCTGTCTCTTGACCCTTCATCCGGTTTGGACGGCAATAGCAAAGTGCTCAATCGACGACCAAAATTCTTTAGAGGTGAATCAATTTTGCTTCTCTCCGAAGAGCTACTGGAATAGCGAGGTCGCTGCGAACCTCTTCTATGGTCTCTCTGCCCATCCCGCTTGCCCTCTGACGAATCATTTCCTACGTTTGGCAGCAGAAGAGTGCTCAATCGACGGCCAAAATTCTTTAGAGGCGAATCATTTTTGTCTCTCTCCGAAGAGCTACTGGAATAACGAGGTCGCTGCGAACCCCTTCTATTGTCTCTCTGCCCATCCCACTTGCCATCTGAAGACTCGTTTCCAGCGTTTGGCAGCAGAAGAGTGCTCAATCGACGACCAAAATTCTTGAGAGGCGAATTATTTTTGTCTCTCTCCGAAGAGCTACTGGAATAACGAGGTCGCTGCGAACCCCTTCTATTGTCTCTCTGCCCATCCCACTTGCCATCTGAAGACTCGTTTCCAGCGTTTGGCAGCAGAAGAGTGCTCAATCGACGACCAAAATTCTTGAGAGGTGAATCATTTTTGTTTCTCTCCGAAGAGCTACTGGAATAGCGAGGTCTCTGCGAACCTCTTCTATTGTCTCTCTGCCTATCCCACTTGCCATCTGGAGACTCGTTTCCAGCGTTTGGCAGCAGAAGAGTACTCAATCGACGACCAAAATTCTTTAGAGGCGAATCATTTTTGTCTCTCTCCGAAGAGCTACTGGAATAATGAGGTCGTTGCAAACCTCTTTTATGGTCTTTCTGCCCATCCCACTTGCCCTTTGACGATTCGTTTCCCACGTTTGGCGGCAGAAAAGTGCTCGGTTGACGACCAAAATCCTCTAAAGGCGAATCTTTTTTGCTTCCCCCAGATGCATTATTGGAATGGCGAGTTTGCTTGGAATTCCTTATCTGATCGCTCTGCTCATTCCACCTGCCCTCTGACGACTCGCTTGCTATGGGTGGCAGTACAAAGGTGCTCATTCGACGGCGAAAATTCATCTGACGAGGCTCTACTCCACTTTTGTGTAGATAATTGAATGCGGGTTGCAATCCCTCTGGGCCCATCTTTTGGCTACTCTGTTCATTCGCTCTTTCAGTGGCATTTTCATTGAAGCTTGGTGGGACTAAAAGTGTGCTCAGTCGACGGCGAAATTTTC